TCTAGTGTATCTACCACACCTCCCAGTTTAGTGTCATCTGCAAACTTGCTGAGAGTGCAGTCCACACCATCCTCCAGATCATTAATAAAGATATTAAACAAAACTGGTCCCAGGACCGACCCTTGGGGCACTCCACTTGAAACCGGCTGCCAACTAGACATGGAGTCATTGATCACTACCCGTTGGCCAGGGTTCCCCATTTCCGGCCAATGGGAGCTGCGTGGGGCGGTGCCTGGAGGCAAGGGCAATGCACGTGGAGCCCTCTGCCCCCCCTCCTGAGGGCCGCTTCTGAAAGTGGCGCGGGGCCTGTGGTGCCACAGAGGGCAGTCCCGCAGGCCGTAGTTTGCCCACCCCTGGTCTAGTAGTTAAACATGGGGGATGGGAAGTCAGATCCCTGGGTTCTATTCCTGATATGGGGAGAGGAGTGCAGTTTAGATGGGGGGCCTGGGAATTGGGACTCCTGGGTTCTGTCCCCAGCTCTGGGAAGGGAGTGGGGTCTAGTGGTTATAACGGGGGGGGGCTGAGAGTCCTGGGTTCTGTTCCCGCTTCTCCCACTGAGTTTTTGTAATGCCTTAGACAAGCCTGTTCTCTTTGCCTTGGTTTTACTCATCTTTTAGTTCTTTTTCTTTAACATGAGTCCCGCTCCTCTGTCCACTGTGCCATCCTGCTCTCCCCCCCACCCCGAGCTGCCCTGCTGCCACATACTCACTCAGAGCTACTGCCTGCTGCAGTGTTGCAAAACTCACTGCAGAGAGGAGCACTGACAGATGGCAGTATTCTGCATGTCCTCGAGCGGTGTGCGTGGCTGTGTGTCCATGATTACATGTCTCTGGTGGGGGGGGTGTGCATGTGTGTTTGTCCCCCTGATTCCATCTCCCGTAAGGAATACTTGTGTGTTTTTGACTCTCTCTCTCTCCCAGGCAGTGTGTGTCTCTGTGAGTCCATCTCCCCCATGGCGTGTGCGTGTGTGTCTCCATGAGTCCATTCCCCCCTGGGTGTCCCTCACTCCTTCCTCCCCGCATGGTGTGTGTGTGTCCCCACACTGCTAGCGGGCTGTGTCCCTCCTCCAGCCCTGTCCCCCCAAGATGCTATGTTCCCCCCAACTCCCCACCGTCTCCCATTCCTATGGGTGTTTATGCTCAGGGTCCCTCTGGCTTCCCTTCCAGGAACACAACTTCATCAAGCGTTACGAGACACTGGAAGTGGACGTGGCGTCTTGGTTCAAAGACGTCATGGCCAAGACAGAGTCGCCCCGCACGAGCAGCATCCTCAGCCAGCACCACCTGCCTTTCTTCACCAGGTAGCCACATGGCCAAAATGATGAGCCAGGGAGGGGGCCATGCCAGCGAGAGCTTACGGCCGGTCACCGCCACAGGGTGGGGACGGGGAGGAGACCCATGGCAGCCGACCCCCCCACACCTTTGCAAAGCAACTCTTCTGAGGCTTGGTTGAACCGTTCATTTCACCCGCCCTCCTCGCTCTCTCCTCCAGTGTTGTCAGGGGAAGTGGGAGGTTGTTTGTTTTCTCTGGAGTGTGGGTTTATTGCTTCCCTTCCGCTAGAGTCCTTGTGTCTCGGGCACCAGCGAGCCGACGAAGACAAGTCCCTCTCTATCTCTGTCCCATGTCCCCTGGATGGGAAGGCTCTTTCCAACTTGGCTCTGCATCTCCAGCTGGGTGAGAGAAGGCCCTTTCCAGCCCGGCCCTGCATCTCCAGCTGGATGAGAGATGGCCCCTTCCAGATATGTCCTGTGTCTCAAGCGAGATGAGAGAAGGCCTGTTCCAGTCCTGTCCCTGCATCACTGGCTGGACGAGAGAAGGCTATTTCCAGCCCTGGCTTGCGTCTCCAGCTGGAGAAGAGAGGGCTCTTCCCAGCCCTGTCCCTCAACCTCCTTAAGACAAGAAGGCTCTGCTGGGAACCTCATACTTCCCTTGGTCCTGAGAGGCGGCACGTCACCTGTTTATGCCTCTCTCTTCACCCCTCCTGCCCCCCGAGAGACTTGGGGAATGGGGAAGGGAGGCTGGAACCCTCACTCATGCACTGTGAACAAAGACACACAAATTTTTTTTACTACTTATTTATTAAGTTTGGACTCTGCAGGGCTGCGGGCTCCCTGCCATGCCCGTCCGCCAGCCACCTGCATTGTTGTTTTATGTCTCTCTTACTTTTCTCTCGTGTTTTGGGATTGTATTGGGGGAGGGGAATGGTGGGGGAGGGGGCACCCGGGGCGTGCGGCTTCAGACTTCACCTAGGAGCTCAGCCCTTGCTCTCTTTTCAGTTAATTTTATTTTTCCTTGGGGGTGGGGCAGGGGTGGGTTTGAGGATTATTCTCGCCGGAAGCAGCTCAGCTGAAGTGATTTATGCTGATGATTTTTTTGTTAATTCTGTTTTTGATCTCAGGGGTTTTCCTGTTTCCTTTTTTTTTTTTCCCTTGGAGTGCGAACAAAAGTTTTTTGTGTTTCTTCTGTCCGCGGCTTTGTATTTACCAAAGTGATCGCTGGGCTGCTGAGCATTGGGAGAACATGGCTGCATGTTGTTTTTCTTTGCTATTTAAAAGGAGGGCGTGAAAGTGCAAAAAAAAAGTTAAATTCTAGGGGGTAGAAACAAGTGTTTGCAGCCTGCAATCTCCTCCAACCGCGGCAGCTGCGGAGTTGTAAAAATCAAAGACACTAATGAAACTTGAAGTTGTTCTTTTCCCACCTCCTTCCTTTCAATCTTGTCAGAGCCCTGGGTTTATTCTGGCTTGTCCTCAGCTGGTGTGAAGGGCGAAGTGGCCACCAGTGGCATGGTGCTGGTTCAGCACAGCTGCTGTAAGCTCCTGTCTGGCTTCGCCGGAGCTACGCAGGTGTATGCCGGCAGATGTGAATCAGTGCAGCCGTGACGTCAGCGGAGCTACGCTGCTTGACATTGGCTGGAGGAGGTCAGCCTGGCTCCACCAGCCTCCTCGATTTACGTTTGCTGAGGATTCGGCTGTTATTTGGTAGCATGTCACCTCTTTGGAAGCCTGGGGGTGTCTTGGGGGAGGGGGCTCTGGTCAGAGCTTTTTGGGGGGGTTGTTGATTGTTTGATTTTTCACATTCATTCTGATTCGCTGGGGACGGCAGGTGCCCTCAGCAGCTGTGGGAAGCAGGAGGTGGGGAGCGTAATCCTGAAAGCATGTGGGATGAGATCCAGTCTCCAACCTCCCTTGACTCAGCCTCCGAACGAGGCTGTGTAGCTCACAGGGGCTGCGGTTGACATTCAGCCCATTTTTAGCAGAGATCTCGTTTTTTTGCCTCTAGAAGGACTTGTGTTTGCTTCCTCCCCCACGCGGAAGGGAACGTGGCATGGGCTCCCCTCCAGCAGGTTTGGGTTAGGCTCACCATTTCGCAACTCCGGGCAGGACTGGGCTCTGCACTGCCCTTGCTGCTGGCTGGGGGAGCTGTACGTCGCTCTGACAATGCCCCAGGTGCTCAGATCCTACCATGATGGGCAAGTTGCTTTACAAATCCCAACCCAAAAATAGTGACATGGAGAAGGTCAGGTGCCGAGCAGATTTGGGCTGCAAGGTTTGTTGAGATTCTGAGTCCAGCTGGCAGCTGAGAACCATATTGCACTGTTGGCCCCATTCCTCCAGTCCAGCAATAGACAGACACCTCCTAGCAAGGGGGCCCACAAGCTGCAGGGTGGCAGCACCCATCTTGCCAGGCCAGGTCTTTTCTGAAACCACTCCGTGCCCATAGTTCTCAGAAAGGGAGGTGGAGCCTGGGTGGGTGGAAACATGGACACAGCTGCCTGGCAGTGCCTTGCACAATGCTCCGTTCTGTCCTGGGTGGGGCGGACCTGGGACAGCAGTTAAGCATCTGGGTAAAGGAAAGTGTGTATATTGGGTAGGTATGGGATTGCTGGTCTGGCTCTGCAAGGGGATGCCAGAGAGCATCCGGGGCAGGAGGTTGGGCACAGAGACCAGCAAAGTGCCTGCTTTATCTCGGGCATCAGCAGTGGAGCATTCTGCTGTCCCCGCAAGGTCAGCAGAATAGGGAGGCAGGAAGGATCTTCAAACCCAAATGCAAGTTCTGGCACAATACACCCCAGAGCCCCTCTTTCCCCACAGACAGGAGCTGAATGGGAGAGACAGCCCCGCACTAATGTGGCAGCCTGGAAATCCATCGGGCTGTTGGGGTGGGAGGAAGAGGAGCCCCTCTGCCTTTTGGAGCGGGGGCATGTCTCCTTCTCGGGTCTCCAGGGAGAGCTTACAGCTGTTTGGATCATCAGTGGTGGATGGCTGTTAATAAAACAGAAGAGGAGCGGAGAGCAGCTGGCACAGGGAATGAGGGGAGCCCTCAGCTTCCAGCACACGAAGCAAAATCAGAAAGGTTGTCAAAGAAGCTGTAAACGCAGTGCAGGATACCACGTGTGGCCATTTCTGGGTGACTTTCTAGATGCCCTGAAGATTAGCCCTGGCCCAAGCCCTCCTTTGCCACCACCTCCCATCTCTTCACAAAGGGCTTGGCGAAGACTTCCCGCGGAACCCATCATTCCACCGCTCTGAGGAGCTGGAGCCTCTGGCATAGCATTGCAGAAAAGCACGGCACTGCCAAGCCAGCTCTACTCCATCCTTGCAAAGAAAATAGCCCTTGTGAGGCATTAAGGAGTTGTTGGTGTTGAATCCAGTCCTGCCAGTCTATTTTCCCTCGCATCTCTCCTGCTAAGAGTCACCAATGCCACCAGTCACTGCAGTGGACCTTTGCAAGAGCATCCAGCAGCTAGATCAATACAGTTTTAACTCATCCTCACAATGCGGCTGGCATGGGATTTCCTAGCTGCAGATGGAAATTATGGGGCCAGCTGTATCCTCAGGAATCTAAGTCCTAAGAGCTATAGATTTTAGCTTGTTCTGTTTCTAAATGTGGAAGAGGCCCTCAGTCTAAACAGTGAGAATTCTGTTCCAGTGTGGATGCAGAATAGACTCAACAGGGTCCCAACTCTACTGCCCTGTGGTAGGCCCAGGGCGAAAGGAGAGAGTCCTCTGGTGGCACTTTCAGAAGCTGTTGCTGATTGGTGTAGTGGTGCGTTACAAGACGTAAAGGGAACTAGTTCTCTAGCCTCAAGGACTTGCAGTCTAAGGAAGACAAGATAGATGGGGATGAGACATGGGATGACAGTGAAAGAGGGGCATGGAGAGAGCATTGTTGAGGGAAAATGAGAGAGAGGATTTCTGGCACAGAAGGTCGGAAGGGTTTGTTACTGTAAATAGGAAGGTGCGGGGAGGCTGTTGGTGAACTTGGAAGCAAAGTATGTTGGGGATGGCAGTGAGTTTTAGGGATGCTTTGATTTGGAGGCGGAACAGGTAGCGCTAGATCTGCAGTCTCAGCTTAGTGAGGAAGTTTCAAAAGTTGAAGAGCAAACTAGGCCAGAGAGGATTGTGCAAAAGGGAGATTAAACTGGGGCAGGGAGCAGAGTCTTGTAGGGGAACCCAGTAGGAAGCTATGGAATGTAAAGCCATGTTTTAACCCTCCACGGGTTGGGTGGCACTTGTGCCTTGCTCCAACTCTTGGCCCAGTGTCAGTCAGTGACAATCAAACCACTTATTTACCTCAGCAGTTGATGTTTCAAGTCGTGGGTTTGAGTGACGGAAGAGAGAGTTAAGTGCGGAACTCACTATAGCAATTTGGCCAGTGTCCGTCACTCCCTGGCATTAGCATGTTGCAGGGACTCCCAGGAAGGTTACTGGTGTACACTGGCTGTCCCTGCCCCTGGAACTACCTTTCCATATGATGCACATAACAGCTTCCATGCCATTTGCCACATGCACCCAAGAGACCCAAGCAAAGGCCACTCCACAAAGAGGACGCATTTGTTTTTGAGGTGAGGAGAAAGCTGTTGAGGGTGTTGCCGAGTGGGAGAGCATGAAAAGGAGAGAAGAGGATTTTCATGGACCAGGCAGGACATATTGACTGGAGGTCCATCTACTGTGGAACTGGAGTGGCCTTTGTAGCAGAAGAGGTGGAGTTTTACAATGCAAATATCCTCTGGAGAATCCAGCACGTTATCCACACACAATGACCACTGAAGGGAAGGTGTAAACAGCTCAGTCTCATTAACTTAACGAAAAGAAGGTTAAGAGGTGACTGACCATGGTCTGTAAGTACCTTCTCAGGGAGCAGATTTCTCAGAACAGAGGGCTCTTTAATGTAGCAGGCAAAGGCAGAATGAGATAGAATGGCTGGGAGCTGAAGAATTCCAACTGGAAATCAAGGCCCAACTTTTTAACAGGAATGGGGATTAACCAGTAGAACAGCTTGCCAAGGGCTGAGATAAATGCTCCATTACTTGGCGTTTCTAATTGCAGGCTGGACGTCCATCTAAAAGACACACTCAAGCCCAACCACAAATTAGTGGACTGGATGCAGGAATCCCTGGGTGAAGCTCTGCCGGATGGTCTGATGATCTGATGGTCCCATCTTGCCCTATAGTCTATGAATAGCCAAAAGGGAAGTAGATTGCAAATGGGCAAGGGTCAGGAGGCCCAGCACACAGCCTTCCACTGTTCAGTGGGGATTTGCTGCAGCTTGGCAAGGCACATTGGGCTGGGTGGAGAGCAGAGGTGAGAATCAGAGGTTCGGGTTAGAACGCCGAGTGAAATGCAGCCTGTGCAGGGCAGAGCAGCGGGGACGGAATGTGTCTTTGGATGGTAGGATAAAGTGGAGATGGTGAGCAGAAGTAGACAAGGGATTAGTGGAGAAGTGGAGAAGTAATTGCAGTTGATTCTTGGGGAAATGGTTTAAAATGCATTAGCAGGAAGCTGCCACAGAATAGTGTCAGTGGCAGGAATCGGGCTCTTCTTTGGCGCATCCAACTAGCAATACCCTCTGGCATGGCTGATCGTCTCCAGATCCAGCATTTAGGAATTTTGTACCTGTGTATCTAATGAAGCATCTAGGCGGACGCTATGGCAGAGCGCTTTTCGGCGGGATCCGAGCAGTACCATGAACAGCAGAGCAGCAAACACTGTCGGTGCTGCAAAATCATCCCTCGAGGAACCTCAAGAGGCTGTAAACTCCTCACCAGGCAAGCTTCACATTTGACAACCACCCAAAAAACAGCCACCCGATCTGATGAGGCAGAGGTTTTCAGATTGGTTTCTTGTTGCTATTCAACCCCCGCTCGCTCTGTTTGATTAACAGCCACAGCAGTGGGTAAAATTCATTTACCAGGCAGCCCAAGAAGTCTTCAACACAATGACATTAGGCGTACAAGGATTTGATTGTATGTGAATTTCAGCCAACAGAGAACCAGAGTCCACTACTCTCAACCCCTAATGTTCAAAAAACATAGATCAGGACCTTCAAAATCATGAGATTAGTTTAAAAATCAGATGATCATTTTGGGTTTCTTTTCATTTACCCTCTGGCTTTTGAGCCTTTAGGAGGGGGTCTCACTGTCAAGCTTTTCTAGGGCTAAAAATTCCTAAAAAAGCCGAGATTCTCATGTAATCACAGGACTCCAGAAGCTGGGGGCTTTAAGATATCAAATATTGCAATAAAAATACGGGACTTGACAACACTGACCTGAACCTCAGCTACTGTAAATCAGCGTCACTCTGTTGACTTCAGTGGAGCGATGCTGATTTACCCCAGTGGGGGATCTGGCCCCATTGACTCTAATGGAATGATGGCCATTTACACCAGCTGGAGATTTTCCTCATTGACTGCAGTGGAGTGACACCAATTTACACCAGCCGGGATCTGGCGAAATCTGTCTTTGATTTTTAACTACTAAGAGTCAGATTTTTTTCATGTGCTCAGCTCCCCAAAACCAGGGCCAAGTCTTCATCATCAGAGCACCTGTGTAGGCACTTACCTGACATGACCCCTTGTTCCATGGATGCTGTTGGGTGCTGAGACCTTTTGAAAATCCAGATGTTTCATTTCAGTGCTGACATGAGAGCTGAGCTCTTTAAGGAAATGTGGCCTTTAAGGCAGGTCTTTTCGAAGGAGACCCTTGGCTCTCGGGTTCAGGGCCCTGTTTTACTAGATGCTGCACAGACACATAGTGAGAGATGGTCCCTGCCCTGAAGACCTAACAGTCTAAATAGCCAAAAGGTGGGTGGGGAAACTGAGAGCCAAGGACACCCAGCAGGTCAGTGAGAGAGCCAGGAGTAGAACCCAGGCTTCCTGAGCCCCACTCCAGTGCCCCAATTAGAATCTGATCCTTCCAGCTCTACCCTTGGGGCTGACCCTGCCTCATTGATGTGTGTGATTTCAGTGGGGCTGTTAATATGGGCCTCTCTTCCACAGAGCAGTTCAATGTCTACTTGGATCTTGCTGGTTTTGGGCGCTGAGGTGCTGTGCTAGGGTGACCAGACAGCAAGTGTGAAAAATCGGGATGAGGGTGGGGGGTAATAGGAGCCTACATAAGAAAAAGACCCAAAAATCGGGACAGTCCCTATAAAATCAGGACATCTGGTCACCCTATGCTGTGCTGAATTGGTGTCTTGAGTGAGGGTTGCTAGATCAAAGCAGTTATTGGCTAAGTGCTGAGACTGGATTGGATCCAGGATTTTTGAAAGGCATCACAGTTTTGTAGTGGGCAGGGGTTTGCGAAAGTACTGGCTTCCAATGAGGAGTTGTAACCTCAGAGTTTGCAAAATTGCTTCCAGTTGTCTTAGAATCGCTGACTGGTAGGGGGCGCAGTCCCACCCCCTTTCACTTCAGCTGAGATCAGGCCCTGCCTCTTAAGGGGAAACAGCACCACTTTTCACTCAATGTTTCTGACATTCCCACAATGATATAACCTAGATTGAACACAGACCCCATGGGTAGGGATGGGGTGGACGACAAAGACTTTTTCAATAGTTTAAACGTTGGGATGTTTTTTCAAGGAGAAAAAGAATTGCCAGGATGGTTGGGGGGGAGGGTAGAAAAATGCAGTTTTATTGCATTTTTTTAAATTATTTTTTTATGTTTTAATTTAGAACAAATCTCTGTTAATATTATTTTAATCCGGGTGGTTAAGTGTTTTTTAATCGCAGACCTGACATCTGCTCTTATTATTTTATTATATTTTTTCTGTGTGTGCGTGGGGGGTGTGTGTGTGTGGGCAGGTGTGTGCATGCATTCAACTGGGGATTTTAAAGAAAACAAAAAACAAACAAAAAAATTCATGCCAAAGGTAGGGCAGAGAATAGCTGGATAGACAATTATATTCTAGGCATTAGCATTTCACTATATTATCTATATATTATATTATATTATTATTATTATAAATTCGCATGTTAAAAACTAATAGGCGTAACTTCTGTCTTATATGGAAAGAGACTTTAGCTTTTGATCGCTTGTACATTCGGTCACTCATCTGTCTTGATCCTTGGAGAGCTGACCTGAATCTAATAAGCTTTAGTAGTTTCACCAAGGTGGGGCTACTGGCTTTGTATCTTTTAGTAGTCACCAAAAAAAAGGAAAAGAAAAAACCTTGGGTGCAATTTTCAAAAGCACCTAAATAATCCAGGAGCCTAAGTCTTATTTTCAAAAGTGATTTAGTCACTTAGAGGCCTTGTCATTATTGAAGGTCAATGGGCTCCTAGGGCACTTTTGAAAATTGAACCCCATGTCTTTTAAAAAGGTGTCATTTGGCCAAAGTTGAGCAGAGAGGTCTGGAAGCAGAATGACTGGCAGTCCTAGATCACGACAGCAAAAATCAATTCAGGGTACAGGGGGCACCACCAATATGTGTCTTTACATTTCTTGCAGAGCTGGCTGATTCTTGCATCGAAATCCACCCTTTAACATTAACGTTACAGCGACACCAGGATTCTCACTCGCCGGCTGTTTAGCTTTAAGTTTGCTCAAATATCCCTTTGCCCTTCCCTCCTCACTCTCAGTAATTGCAGGAAATCAAAACCTTACAAATTATTTATTGGCCGTCAGAAACTTTTTGCGTGTGTTTTATGTGTCCTTTAAATGTATTATATTTTTTTTAAATCTTCCCCCTTTCCTTTCCTTTTTGTGGGGTATATTGATATTTATCTAGCTGTCTCTCGATGTATATAGAGAGATAGATAAATATCAATATACCCAGATGTATATTTTGCTTAGAGCTGGTATGTGGGGTGACGAGTAGGTCGGTGGAATTTTATTGGGGGGAATTGAGCATCCATAAACTCGGGAGAGAGATTTCCTCTCTCATGTGATTTGGCAGCTCTACAGATAAAGTCAGATGGTTTCTTTTTATTCTCTCACTGTGCAGTGACATTTTAAAGAAGTGATTATAGCTGGGAGCCAAAAAATCTTTGCCCCTTAAAAGATTTTCCTAGAGTGCCGTGAATGGATGTGGGGGCACTTAAATGGAACGTGGGATCTGCTTCCCGCCTTGGGAACTCTCTGAGCGGCTTACAGGCTAACAGCTCAGAAGAAGGGGGAGGGGAGTTATCGGGGAGCCAGCCTCCCACTGAGTGTGATGGGCGCTGGGTCTGGCCTGCGGTGAATGAGGGCCGGGAAACAATGATAGCAGGTCTAGAGGACAGTTGGGATTAGCACAGAGTGAGAGGAGCAAGAGTGTGGAAGTAGGAGTAGCTGGGGGGGTTGGGCATGGCCAGGATGTGTGGGAGGGGCCAGAGGAGGAGCAAACAGTGCAATCGAGGAGAAGGGTATCTAAGCAGGGAAAATTACTTTCCCAAGCTGGGATTGTAATGAATGCTGAGAGCCAGGATCCAGCATTTAGGCCATGGGAAGGAAAGTGGGGGGTTCTCATGGGTTTCCCCCTTCTTTACTTGAGGCAGGAAACACCGGCTCCCACTTCCATTCTCTGGCAAGCCCAGCATATGTTCAGGGCTTTTTTGGTAGTGTATAAATAATGCTGGTTTTTTTACGCTGCGATTTAATTTTACACCGGTGTTGAAAAAAAGCCATTACAATAGGGGTTGGGTGGGGTTTTTGGTTTTGTTTTGTTTCATTTTGTAGCATCTAAATGTGTTAGCAATGCCAAAGCATTTAAAGATTTTAATGGGGCGGGGCAAAGAAAGCGGCACCGTGGCATTTTCAGGGCATCGCCTGGTTTATTAAAACTGCCTTGGATTTTGTCCAGTGTAAATTTCTCCACCCTCTTCCCCTCCACCCCCTTGACAGGGTAGGGAGAGTTAAACTGCGCCTCCTGTTGGCCGAGTAGAGGAATGTTCTCAGGTGTGAAGCTGATCTCCGCTCACAGTGCTGGCTTAAGGCCTCAGAATCACAGAAGTCACACTTGACCCCTATGTGAACTGGGAGTCAGGACTCCTGGGCTCTGTCCCCAGCTCTGGGAGGGGAGTGGGGTCTAGTGGTTAGAGCAAGGGAGCACTAGGAATCAGGACTCCTGGGTTCTGTTTTGAGCTTTGGGAAGAGAATGGGATCTAGTGATTAGAGCAGGGGGTATTGGGAGTCATGACTCTCGGCTTCTATCCCCAGGTCTGGGCTCTAGTGTTTGCAGTAGGGAGGACTAGGAGTCAGGACTCCTGGGTTCTGTTCCCGGCTCTGAGAGGAAAATAGCATAGAGCAGGACGACTGGGAGTCAGGAGTCCTGGGTTCCTAGGCCTTGTGACGAGATCAATTTCGCTTTGTGTGTGTGTGGTTGTTACGATGGTTTGCGATTTATGCGATGCTGAATTATTTCCTAAATCCCAGGATCTTGAAGGAGGCAAACTCTCAGCCTGCAGCATTGGGTCATGCAACATTCATCCCCCTTTTTGCAAATGTTAAGTGTGCTTCGTGACTTTCAAAAGAGCGAATCTGCGTCAAAGGGGTGGTGGAAGGGCGGAATCTCCTGCGCAGATATTGTTAAAAAAGCATCTTTTGCTAAACTTTCCTCTGGAAGACTGCATCTTCCCTAGCAAACAAGGTGTCTTAACGCATGTTGAATAAGATCCCAGCAGTTTATAGTTTTCAGACGTGTTGGCAGATTGAGGGGGATGCCTCGACCTTCTGGTTTGTGTGAAAACTACACAGTGCTTTGTCTTCCCTAGGATCTTACATAACACGGAGTAAGAACACACCTTGTTTCTTAGTGAAGACACCGGCCACTGTCAGAAGACAGGGTACTGGGCTAGATGGACCATTGATCTGACCCAGTTTGTCCATTCTTAACTGATGGAGCTCATTGGGATAATAGACCTGTGGAGCACCAGTCCCCAGCTTGGAAGGAGCGCTCTCTCCCTTCCGAATCCAGGAATCACGTTGACATGTTCACGGATTGTGTATGTTATCCCTGAGCATGGGCGTCTTACCTGGCTCTCCCAAGGTGTCTGCAGTAACTTTACTGGTTCTTAGTCCCCTTTTCTCCCTCACTTATAGTCCAGACGACATGTCAAGGTGGTTGTCCCTCTGCTACCAACCAAGCTGGTCTGGTTAATCTCAATGGGTTTCTTGGATTTAAAAAAAAAAAAAAAGAAAGAACAAAAAACCCACAAAATATTTTAAAAGGAAATTGTTGCTTATTTTAATAGGTTTTTTTTTACTCTGTTGTTTGTAGAAACCCTCTTAGAAGCTTGAAAATAAAAAATTCTTTCCCTAAATGGTTGTCTCTTTTCACTCAGCAAATGTCTCCGTATGAAACCTTCTGTTTCTACAACCTCTTTCTTCCCAAAGCGATTGAATCCATAGGGATCTCCTTGCCCAGCAGTGAAATGCAGCCCCGTCTGGGTGAGATGCCCCAGTTTTTTAATGGCACACGGCAATGCTCCACAATGGGCAGCCCTGAAATGCAGCCCCCTCTCAGCTGAGATACAGCAGCTGTTTAATGGCACACAGGAATCACTCATGCAGCGCTGAAATGCAGCCACCTCTGCGTGGGATGCTGCAGCTTTTTAACAGTTGCATAGCAACCGTCTGCAAGTCAAAAGGTGAAGAATCATGGCTTGATTTGAAAATGGAAGGGGGTGGGGATTAGGGTGACAGAAGGTAATTTACTCATGTTGGAATTAACCCAAACATTGGGATTAACTGAATCTTGAGTAGGATAGCGCCACGAGCTCCTTACTGACCCTAAGCAAGGACCTTGGTTTTATGTTTCATTGGAAAGACTAAAGCCTATTTACCAGGGAATTGATAATGTTCTTCCTCTGGATTCAAAAATAAAACTGTATCTGGAGAGGTGAGTCGAATTAAAGGTCAGATCTGATAAAGTGCTAAAATGGAAAACCATTTTTACACAATGTCTGGGGCAGCTACATAGATTTTTGCTACATTTCCAGAAATTGTTCTCTTGCCGAGGACCCCCACTGTCTGTTAAAATGACAGCTCTGTTCATGAAACAAAATAATTTTCTGTTACCTGTGAGGGTGGGGCTTCCAACTGATTTGTTTAAAAATAATTACATGCTAATTAACACAGAAATTGGTGCAAAAATAATCATTTACAATTTACCTTTCCAGTGATGTTTTTGTTTGATTGGTTGGGGTTTTTTTGTGTATGCGGGTGTCTGTGCTCAGAGGGATTTAAATGTACAATTTTTACCATTCTCATGCCTCTTCCTAAAGGGATGGAGGAGCCAGTTGATAGGGCACGGGATTGAGAACCAGGACTCCTGGGTTCTATTCCAGTGTCTGCATCACTGTGCCACTGTAGGTAAGTCACTTCACTGCTCTGTGCTCAGTTTCAGTCTTACCAACCTCAGGAGTTCAAAAAGCGTGAGTCAGGCCCTGAAAAATCAGGTGATTGGTTTAAAAATCCAGAGGTGTTGGTTGTGTTTAATAATAAATGTTTGACATGTGTGTGTGTGATTTGCCTTCTGGGTTTTGAGCCAGCAGGAGGTCACATTTTCACGCTTTTCTCCTCAACCACAAGGGCCAGAAACTTTTTTTTTTTAATGAAAACAGATTCTCACTCAATCACCTGGCTCCTGGAGCTGGGGCTTTAAGAAAAGCACCAAATACTGCAAGGCTTATGACAAAATCCTGAGAGTTTCAGCACTACAGTTTTTAGCATGTTTGGGTCTCTCTGAAGGGATGGATGGGTCAATTGAGAGAGCCCAAGATTTCGAGGTAAGACTCCTGGGTTCTATTCCTGGCTCTGCGTCACTCTGTGGTTATAGGTAAGTGTGCCTCAATTTCTCTCTTGCCGAATTGGGCGTGTGCAGGAAATGAGGCTGATCTGTCTTGTTAATGGGAGTTGCTTGGAACTTTAAAAAGCATCCACCGTTGGGGCCAGTTTCCCCACACGTGGGGGTGCGCAGAATCTGTCCAGAAGTGCCACCGTGGGAGCTGCTGGGGGCTTGTGTACTTTTGAAAATTCTTTACATTCCCAAATGGGAGCTGAGTCCCAGACAAGCTGCACCCTCTCCATATATCTCACAAAAAGCCCTTTGCAAACAGAAATTCTTTTAAGATTTGCTTGGGTGTCTGCCTCTCACTGTGCCATCAACTGAGGCCTCCCTTGTCAAGCAGCATCGGAGGGGGGAAAAATATCCGTGTTGTGCAGAAATTGTGGCAACAGGGTGTCAGTTGTCAAGAGCCCTAAGCTTTTAGTCAGTAGCAGCAGCTGCTGAGCTGCAGAGGTAGGTGGAGCAGCCTTGAGAGGGGTTTAGTTGAAATGCTTTTTTGCAATGGCTTGTTTTGCTGGAGAAGTTAAATGCGGTCTGTTCATCAGGGCCCGATCCAGCACTTAGTCCCAATCAGGATCGAGTCCTTAACAGGGGCGGCTCTATGTTTTTTGCCGCCCCAAGCACGGCAGGCAGGTAGCTTTCGGCCTGCGGGAGATCTGCTGGTAACACGGATTCGGCGGCATGCATGCTGGAGGTTCACCAGTCCCGCGGCTAGCTGCCGCCGAATTGCCACCGAAGCCGCGGGACTGGTGGACCTCCCGCAGGCATTCCGCCGAACTGCTGCCCTCACGGTGACCGGCAGGCCGCCCCCTGCGGCTTGCCCCCCCAGGCACGTGCTTGGTGCCTGGAGCCGCACCTGGTCCTTAAACAGCCCTGGGAAAACATCCATCATTTTAAAATTGTCCCAAACTGTCTGTCTTCCTCCATAGCTGCAGGCTTCAATGCAGGGGTCCACTTTTTAAAATTGGAGGGGGTGCAGAGAAGAGCCACCAAAGCGATCTAAGGAGTGGAAAAGAAGAGTCTGGTTGGCTCACCAAAAAGAAAAGCAAGCGGTGACTAGATTATGTCGTAACCCACTGGGCTCTAACGGGCTCTTCAGTCCAGTGGTGAAAGATAGAACAAGAACCAATGGCGGGAAGTTAAAGCCGGACAAATTCCAAATAGAAATAAGGCAGGTTTTTAACGGGGAGGGAGATTGATCAGTGGAACAAACTCCTAACGGAAGAGGTGGATTCTCCAGCTCCCAACGTTTTCAATCCAGACTGGCTGCTTTGCTGGCCGGTGCATTAGCCAAACTCAAGTTCTTGGGCTCAGCAGTAAATGGGTGAAATACACAATGGCTTCTGCTATACAGGTCAGACCAGACAATGTAACGGTCCTTTCTGGCTTTAACCTCTGTGAATTCTACCTCCTGCATTACCCTGGTAAATGATTTCAGCATCTGTCCTGATGCAGGAATCAGAACCATGCCTCAGCCTCTAGGCTATGGCTGCGAACAGAGCTGGACGGAGCCCCCGCTCCCTGGGCTGGATAGTTCTTTTCCCCTCCTGCTTCCGTGAGATCCTGAGCTCCCGGGACAGGAATGCCCCGAATTTGAGATTTGCCCAACTGACAGTAGCTGAAGCTTGACACCCCCAGTCTTGTTCTAGATGCAGCGGGACTGGCCTGGCTTGGGCAGAGAGATGCACGGCAGAAGGGTGTTCCCGTCCAATCCAGGCTCCAGGGACAGAGGCCGGCTGGTTTCCTTCTCTCCCATCTAATTTTAACCTCCGTGTCAGTGTGGTTCTGTGCACAAGCGAGCCAGCAGAAATGACACTTTCTAACACCCAGCTGGGCTCCTGCCCATGCATGCATCAGAGCCAGATCTGCTGCCTAGAGTGACAAACTGCAGAGCCAATGCAGCTACAGGAGAGTGAGCTGGAGTCTACACCTGTCAGTTGCCCCTGTGCATTACCCTTGATAACAATGGGGCCATGCAGGGGTTACTGGGGGCATCATGGTGGGGGGAGCACAGGAGTTACTGAGGACAGGATGGTTAGTGATTGGGTTCCTGACACTGCAAAGAAGCTTTTAATAAAAATCCAACTTTTATTGTTATTCCTGACAGGTTTGAAAATCCCCTTTAGCAAAACAACTTCTGGGGCCTAAAATGAGAGGCAACAGGGTCCAGAGAGCAGCAGGAGCCAGTCAATGCTAAAGCACAGGGCTGGGGGTCAGGACTCCTGGGAGGGCAGGCGGATCTAGGGTTTAGAGCCGGAGGGAATAAGCTAGCGGACAGGACTCTGGGAGGGCAGTGTGGTCTAGTAGTGAGATTGAGCCAGGACTCCTGGGTCCTATTTCCAGCCCTGAGTGGGGGGTGTGGTGGGGGTCCTAGCAGTGGAGTAATAAATAATTGGGCCTACAAAGTTCCTGCTCTTGGGAGCCTAACTGGGAAAGTGGATAAAAGTTCATAACGTGTCACAACAACCTATAACAACTAAGGCTGATGGAAAAAGCTGCAAAAGGGAGACAGACAGACAGAATCAGTCCAAACAAAAAGCCTCCTGATATCACTCAAGGATTGTGTTACGATCATGCCCGGTAAACAATGGGCATGTGGGACCAGAGGTCAATGAAGTAAAAGTTGGTGTGTCAGAATTTAGGCTTTGTTGGGGAACAAAATCCTGAGGGGATGGGCTAGGCCACCTATGTCTCCCTTTGGGGGTCCTTAAAAAAGGGATTTTGGGGGGGAAATATGGTTGTGGAAGTGGGAGCCAGAGTGCAACAAGTGCTGAGGGGAAGGAGCGAACTTCATCGTCATGGCTGCCACCCCCGCCCGAGATGCACCGTGACACGACTGGGCCTTCCTTGTCCTGCTCCTAAGAGGTGTCCAGGCCAGAGAGAGCGACCCAGACGACATCGTCACCTGCACTGGCTCCGGCTAAATCCCGACCCCACCTGGGACGTGAGACCATTTCTTCAACTGCCCCCTTCCCCTCCACGTGTCTTTTCCCTTCCCCATCGTCTTCTCTTCCCTCCTTATGCCTTCTGGCTGAGCTGGAAAAGACTATATTTTGCAACACTGCTGTGAGTCTGTGACCAGAGGCAGCTTGAAGCAATGTCCTAAACCGCCCAATGCTGGTACAAGTTTGCCAGGTCTCAGAGTGGCTGATCAGTCCCTGCCGTGACTCAGTTTCTCCAGCAGGGAGGTGGCAAGTGAGAGTCAATGCCAGAAGGAGAAGCTGCATCCCTTGCATCTTCTCTTCACTCTTGCATGTGTTTAATGTGCTTTTCTTTCATGCATTACCTGCTTTTCTTTCTTTTCTGTGTCTTTAATAAAAGGGCAAAGGGGTGTTTAATGAGCTGTTTGCTGTGGGACTAAGCAGGCTGATGTCTCTGGTTACCAAACCCCAAAGCTTAATGTCAAACAGGGGCAGGGTCACGTTAACATCTTTCACTCTTTGGGACCTTCTATTCCATCTAGATTAACACAAC